ATCATAGAAGAAAAGGGACTGTACGCTAAATTTCAATTAACTTTCAATTTAAAGAGGGACACACAAGGATTCACAACGGTACCTAACTCTGAACTTATCTCTGAAATGTATTTAAAAAGCAGTAAAATTGTATCTGTACGCTATCGCACCATGTGTCGCGTTCCTAGAAAATCTAGAAACTTCTTTATCAGACGCATGAATAAATAGTATTTTTCCTTGCTTGCAAACTAAGTGCTTATCAATAACAACCGCTTCTGTTGATAAAAAAAGAAGCGACTGTCATGCTATAGCAGACCGTTTATATGTAGCAACTCACCCAACCCCAGGGAAGGTTTACGGACGGTTAAAAGTGAAACAAGTTATAATTTTTTAATTTTAGAAATCTATCAACGTTTACAGAAAAATTATGCTCACGCGGCCCCATTTTAAAACCTAGAACAAAGACGACTGTCAAGTAGGGCTGGGCACATTCCAACTTTTTAAAGCCGTTTCGTTAGTTCCAACCGTTTTAAAAAATATATCAGTCTCAATCTGAACATATAACTTTTACCGCCTTTTTGACCAACATTACCGACCTATGATTCCCCCAACAGAGGGAGGTTATGTTATTTAACGTCCCTTGGGACGGTTATGCGAAATTAGGAAAAAATTCGTGCATTTTCATCTCAAAAGACGATAAAATTGTGTCCACCTACTTTTTCGGGAAATAAAAAATTTAACTTAACCATATGAATTTTGTCTTCGAATTTTTTCTTGGAAACATTCCTCGTTGCTCTCTGGATGTTTTGTAGACAAAATTGGTCTTGGGATCCCTTGGTGAAGTAAAATTCCCTTAACTTCTCTGTAAAGTAGTTGTAAATAATTAAAATAGGTTAAAATTGCACAAAGTCTCGGTAAATATTTTATATTATACACAAAAATATCTAATTACGTTATTGTAATGGGTATTATTAACTGCGAACGCACTTATGACATCCATTACAATCAACTTTATAGATATATTCAATTTTACTCAATTAATTTCATAGCAGATCGATAAAGTTACTTTATCACCCTGTTGTAATGGTAATAAAGTAACTTTATCATCCTTCAACGGGAAATATTAGTCGAAATTCGAAATTTTAATAGCAGGGTAATAAAGTTACTCTTTTACTCTGTTGTAGGGCGATAAAGTCATTCCAACATGAAATATTAGTTGTGATAAATTTCCTCAAAATCAAATATAAATAATATTACATTTTCATGGTAACGATTCTTTATTTATAAAAGATCTAGTTGAATAAATTATCATAATGTATATAATATACATATATAGCTATTTTAAACGAATAGCTTTATTATTACCTCACTAGCTTACTTAAACGTTTAGTATCTCTCTTTCCATTGTTCGGATTATGAACCATGAAATTTTTTTAAGACAATCGAAAAATCTACGAAATATATTAACATCGACATGATGCATCGAAAAAAGTTGCATAATTTTGAAGTTTTATTATTTATGCCATACATACTGAAATACAAAATTTGTAACATTATGAAAAACGTTTAGACATGTAAAAATCTTATAAAAGATGTTTACGCTTATCATTTTTTATATTTAACACATAACACGTAAATACATAAGTACTACTTTAGATAATGATCTGACATAGGTGCATTGTATCTTGTACTTGAAATACGAAGTACTTTGTATCTTGTACTAGGACAGTTCTTGATATACTACAGAAGCACTTTGTATCTTGTACTAGGACAGTTCTTGATATACTACAGAAGCACTTTGTATCTTGTACTAGGACAGTTCTTGATATACTACAGAAGCACTTTGTATTCTGTACTTGAACAGTTCTTGAAATACGGAGTACTTTGTATCTTGTAATAGGACATTTCAGGAAATACGAAGTACTTTGTATCTTGTTATACTAGGACAGTTCATGAAATACGAAGTACTTTGTATCTTGTACTAGAACAGTTTTTGAAATACGAAGTACTTTGTATCTTTCACTAGAACAGTTCTTGAAATACGAAGTACTTTTTATCTTGTGTTAGGTCAGCTATTGAAATACAATTATACAAGAAAATGAAAAGCCTGTTCTATAATTTAGAACTAGATTGGCAGTTTTACAAGAAACAAAAAAACACAAATATATACACGTGATGAATTTCGTTAGATGTAAGATGGGACAATTTATTACATTATTTACTATTCAAATCCATTATTTATTTGAAACATGGCTCATTATACAAATTATAGATGTACTTTAATATAAGGGAACCCACAAGGGTTGAAACTTCAGAGACGACTGTACGGAATGTATGCTGTCTTCTTTTCTTATGTTTATGATTCCCAATAACTTTAAACTTGTTTCGTTCTTTGAGAAATCATTAAATAAACCTTTGAAAGACTATATTCAAAAAAGACACCTCAATTAAACTTTGGGATCTTAGTATTTAAATAGTTTCAGGTCGTCTTTACAGTCTCATCTTTTGTGGGTTCATCCTGAGCTGGGAAATTGTGTGCTGGATGCTCATAATCCCGATCCACAGATCTCGAAATCCACGTTGGGCACATTCCATTTGAGGATCAATGGTACATATAAAAAACTTTCCATATCTTCATTTTAGGTCTTCGATCCTTTCCTGTTTAAAACTACCTTTAACCCCTGACAAAGTACGATTATCCTGCGGTTTATTGAATAGAAATGAATTAACCTGTAGATTAAAAAAATATTGAGATCAAGCATTGATGTATCCACAGCATGCCACAAATCCTTTTAAACCATGTTGCACCCAAACAATATATTTTTAGTCTACTAATCTCAAATCTTAAACTTTCAAACTCTTTAAATGCAATTTTTTGTTTTAATGCAAATATCGTCTTCATAGAAATGGAAGATATATTTTAAAAGAAAGGTAAAACATGTTTCTAAACTCAACAATAATGTGAACTAAGTTGAAAATCCAGTTTTAAAATCTTAATTCATTAATTCTAAGCTTATGATAAATTGAAGATAAAGTAGAAAAAAGCTTGTAATATCTAATTCTCTGAACCAATATTATTAAAATCCTTCCTGGGATTTTATAATTCCACTAGAGGGATTCAGATATCTTTCCAGGGGGTTTAAATTCCACTGTAGGTTTTCAAAAATCCTTCTTTCGTATCGGAATCCCTCCAAAGGAATTATGAACCCCTGGAACGATATCTGAATCCCTCCAGTGGATTTATAAACCCCCTGGAAAGATATCTGAATCCCTCCAGTGGATTTATAAACCCCCTGGAAAGATATCTGAATCCCTCCAGTGGAATATAAATCACCCTGCGTAAAGTTTTAAATTGTAAAAAGTATTTTTTCAAACCCCTCCAGTGAAAATGATTTCCCTCCGGTGGACTTAAAACCTTACAACGAACTTCCGTGACTCCACATTTCTTAGGATTTTGTTTTTGGCAACCTATTAATTTACTAAAATAGACCTTCTTGGCTTGTCTTATTTTTCTATTATAAATGTTTCTGCATACATTAAACTTGATTTTATCTTCAGGCTTTTTAGTTTGCTGAAAAAAAATATAAAAATAGTTTTTGCGCTCTCAATGAAAGTAGTGTAATATATTCTGTGTTAATGCTTGCTGCGATCTATATTATCCATGTTAGTAATATATCTTAACTATCTGTATTTTGACCCTGTCCGGCTAGCCCGGTCAGTTTAGTTCACCTGTATATATAATAAATCAGTTCAATACGAATTGTTGATTAACACGGGCGTATACAGAGCCTTGAGTTTTAGCTAGAGATTGAGAGCCTTGAGTTTTGGGTAGAGATAGAGTCGTTTAGATTCTAATTAGACTTTGAGTTGAGTTATCGTTGAGTAATCTCGGGGCTAGATTTCTTACAGTAGTTTCTTTGTCATGAATTGGTTTAGGTGTATTTTTGTTGCATTTTTATTTTTATTTTTATGTAAAGGAAAATGTTTTTCAAAATTCATGAAAAATGTTTGATTACATTCTATTGCCGCCATCTCTGCAGTTTGAGATAAAAATACATTATTCCATTTTTCTTTCTCAAGCGTAGTTTTGAACGATTTTATATCACTATAATTCATGTTCTATCTATCTATCTACCTCTCTATCTATCTATCTATCTATCTATCTATCTATCTATCTATCTATCTTCCGAACTTCATTTTGAAAGTTTAGTTTATATCAATATTCATGAGGTTATATTATAGGAGTTAATATACATTATTCAATTTAAAGGGACTGTAAACGTGATTTCAATTGAAACCTTTAATAATGCTCTTGTTTAACTTTGCTAAATTTAGAGTTCATGTTTAAAGAAGTGAAAGTAATGTTTACTCATTTGTTAATAGATGCGGTATTCTCTCAAATTATATTCATAAACAGATATTTCATAGATAGATATTTCATTGATAGATATTTCATTGATATGTGTTTCACAGATAGATATTCCAGAAATAGATATACCGCAGATAAATATTTTATAGAAAGATATTTCTTAGATACATATTTCATAGATATATGTTTCATAGATAGATATTTCATTGAGAGATATTTCATACATATATATTTTACAGATATATATTTCATAGATAAATATTTCATAGATATAATCATCATAGATAGATCTTCCATAGACAGATATTTTACAGATATATATTTCATAGATATATATTTTACAGGTATATATTTCATAGATATATATTTCATCCACAGATATCTTACAGATATATATTTCATAGATATATATATATCATAGAAATATATTTCATAGACATATATTTCACAGATATATATTTCATAGATAAATATTTCATAGATATATATTTTATAGATAGATATTCCATAGATAGCTATTTCATAAATATACATTTCATAAATAGAAATTTCATGGATAGAAATGCGTAAAGTTTAGATACTAAAAATGTGTAAAGGGTTGATACTAGAAATGTGTATTGTTTGGATATTAGAAATGTGTAAAGTTTAGATACTAGAAATATGTACAGTTTAGATACTAGAAATGTGTATTGTTTAGATACTAAAAATGTGTAAAGTTTAGATACCAGAAATGTGTAAAGTTTAGATACTAGAAATGTGTATAGTTTAGATACTTATAGAAATGTGTAAAGTTTAGATACTAGAAATGTGTTAAGTTTAGATACTAGAAATGTGTATTGTTTAGATACTAGAAATGTGAATAGTTTAGATACTAGAAATGTGTAAAGTTTAGATACTAGAAATGTGTAAAGTCTAGATACTAGAAATGTGTAAAGTTTTGATACTAGAAATGTGTAAAATTTAGATACTAGAAATGTGTAAAGTCTAACAGGGTGATGAAAACGAAAATACTCGTTTCAAGGTAAAACAAACAATTTACTGGGCGTAAAAAAATGTCGTCCACCCTCTCATTTCGTTCATAATACTACTTACTTAAAAAAAATGACGTCACATATTTTTATTTTGATAAATAGAATTTATACTTATTTTCATTGCCAATAAAAAACGCAACCAACTTTGTTATACAATCAGAAAAATTATATCTATATAACGTGGCAAATTGTATTTTTTTGAATAATTATTTAAATGGAAAAAAAACATCAAAAGAAAACATTATAATCATAGAAATTTCCATTTTTAATAAAGGTTATCGACACCCTCGTATAAGTACATTTTGATCAATTAAAAGCAATATTGTTTGGTTGTGAGTGTGACGTAGGTTTTAAAATCAAAAAAAATTTTATGCTCGTAGGACTTGTGACGTAAAATTAAATGGCTCTACATTCACATTATAAAGTTTAACAACATTTAATACACCTAATGTACTGCTACTGTTCCATTGTTTTCTGGTTATCACTGTATGTTTTCTATTTTATTTCAGGAAATTGAAGAAACTTTTTGTTTCTTTGCTGTTGTTATTGTTTGTAGCGTACTGCATACTTATAGGAAAATACAGAACCAAGTCTAGAGAATAAAATTAACAAACAATTTTATTCACAGCGACTAAAAACTTGTATTATTACTTATTTTAGTTTTAAGGAGAATAGAATACTGTAATTTCAATAAACTTTGTAGATATCGTGTATTTTTACTTTAGGATGTTAGACGAATCTATTTTTTAAACCGATTCTTCATATCGATTTTCAAAACGATTTTTTAAACAATTTATTATAGCAATTTTCAAACAAATTTTCAAAGCAGTTTTTCGAGCGATATTTCAAAATGGTTTTGGCAAACAAATTTTCCTTAAGATTAATTTACATGCTGGTTTCTACTTTATTCACATGCTGGTTTCTACTTTATTCACATGCTGGTTTCTACTTTATTCACATGCTGGTTTCTACTTTTTTTTGGAAAATATATTGTTTATGGACCTCTTTAGCAGGTGAAAATATATCTACAAAAATATCCACAATATTCATTTATTGTATGATATATCAAATTGGCTGAGATATAAGCGAAGATTTAAAATAAACCCCACAATTTTGTTTTCTGGGTCGTATTTTGAGTCCAAAACAAAGATAATCCAGTTTTAATATGTATTTATATATTTTGACCACAAACAAACGTACACGGCACGCACCTCTGCTTTATTTACCTAATGACCGGAGGACACAGTACAAGCTGGGACCTGAAAAGTTGACCCGGCTCGGAAATTCAAATGTACTACGGCTGACCGCACGGTTCAGAATCAGATCTGTATTTTGGTATAAGAAGGTTTGCATGGTACAAGATTATCAAAACTAAGAAAACTAAAGGAAACTTGGCAAAGAGAAGAGACGAACAAAAAGCATGAAAAAACCTCAAAAATTGCGGATTTGATGAAGAGAAAACTGAGGGATGTTGACACGACTAAGGACAATTGGAACCAGATCAAAGGAGAACTAAAGAAGACGACTGGGGGAAAAGTATTGAAGAAAAATCAAAATGACGTTAATAGAGAGTTTCCTGAGCATCCTATACAAGTTTTAATTCTTGCATATCCGAGGTAAATGTAGAATATATTATCTAACTTATTAGTTGAAAAATTATTTTGGATCATAAAAATATATAATAATAATAATAATAATAATAATAATAATAATATATATTCAGGACTGGTTCCTCCCTATTAGGAGAATTGTTGTCCAAATCTCCACAAGTTCAATACATGTTCGAACCCCTTCATGCTCTTAGGAAACAATATTTTTATCTAAAGGGATTGTTGGGATTGTTAGTGTAATATAAAGGGATTGTTAGCGTAATTAAACAATATTTTATCTAAAGGGATTTTTAGCGTAATTAAAAAATATTTTATCTAAAGGACTTGTTAGCGTTAGCGTATCTATCTGTATAAAGTTGTAATCTCTATTTGGGTGTTTGTATGTCCGATCATAACTCAGCTTGATGTTTTTAAAATTTAAAGTTGAGAGGGAAGACTTCTGTAGAAAAAAACTTTCACTGATAACCTGAAAACTCCGGAAAAAGAAGACGATTTTATAGCAATACTGAAGTGTCTTTGATGTTGTTAGAAATAGATCTCAAATTAAGTGAAATGGGTCTGTTTACACTGCACAATTTTATTTTCCCGTGTTTATTGGATATTTTAAAGTCATAATTTGAGTCTTAAAGTTGTCTTCCTATTCCAGAGCTTTCTGGTTATCACTATAGTTTCAAGGCAAAGCTGGGTTCCTCTACAAGTAGTAAAATAGTAATTTCTCTGTTCGAGTGTCCGATCATAACTCAGGAACCCTTGAACCGATTTGCCGCAAATTTTGATAGGGAAACTGGGACGAACCAAGGGAATGTTCTACTTTTTAAAAGAAGAATTTTAAGGAAATGAAAAAAAATAAACACCAAAAAATATATCACTAATTTACCCTATTTTTTCCGCTCTAATACACCCGGTAATGGAAGAAAAAGTTTGAACTCAATCACGAAAAAAATGATGTGTTTTGCCAAAATGACTGGAAATAATGAAACCTTTACAATCTTCATATCCATATAGTGGAAATCAATTTAAAGAGACAGACCGGCTATGTAGGTAGCTGAAGTGAGTATGCAGTGTTGTGGACAAATTCTTTAGGATTCCTTTGAGACATATAAAACTTTTTAAAGATCTGTAAATCCTGAGTTTGAGCGCAAAGTCGACGTTCTAAATCGTACTTTTGTGTGGATACGTTTTCAGAATCATTTTCTCCAATATATATATATATATATATTGTTGAGTTCACACTGTACGCTAGCGAACACTCCAGTTTTTTCCGCAATTTGAAAACACTTTTAGAGATGAATAACCAATGTTCTCTGCTCTCGAATCCGTCAAGTGCATTGTAGGTCACTTAAAATTAAGCTTCCAGTCCCTTTAAAGGACTTTTGTCGCAAACTCTAAATATATAATGTGATATATATATATATATAGGGTGAGTCAAAAAAAGTGTGATTTGCAGCGCCTGCTGCAAAATTGTACCTTTTTTGTGCAACTCTCAATGTGTGTGAATAAATCTTTATTAATTAACAATTTATAACACTGTTATTTTGGTTCGCAGTGTTATAACGTTTTTGGACAGAAATTTTCTCTTTATCGAGAAGATTCAAGCCTTTTTAGATTTAATTTTGACCCGAGCTTTAGCGAGTGACAAAATATAATCTAAAAAGGCGAGAACCTTTGAGAACGACGCCAAAATATTAGTGTTACAGGTAATTTTTTGAAACGTATGTATACTTGTCTTTTTTCAATGGCTATTTCTAGATCAAATAAGCTTTGAAACACAGCAGAAGTGAAAATATAAAGTTGATTTCAATTTTATTTTCATTTCAATTGAGGAAAATATTTTGGAAATATCCTAATTTTTTTTAATTAAATACAAAAACCAATCAAAACTTTATATCACACGTGCTATAATGTCAACTAATTTAACTTTATAGCACGATGATTACTTTATACCTTTAAGTTTCAGCTTTGCAACCATAATTCCCCTGGAACCACAAGCTATGCTTTCCCGGAAGCTGCCTGTCGTGTCAGAAAATCAAACACCGGCAGATCGCTAGCTGACATCGTTTATGGTTAGAACTAGGGCCGTATGTAATCGCATTCGAACCTCTAACTTTCGTTCATTTTGAAATTTACGATGAAGTGAGGAAGAATGATAAAGTACACAATAGTTTTATAAAAAATATATAAAGTCACTTTAACCTAGTTTATAAATTCTTTTTCTGAAAATAGTTTTATTTAAATTTTTTAAATATTTCAAAACAGATTTAATGTTGTTTTCATGAAAAAGGTTGTTTATTTTAATAATAAAATAACTATAATGGTTTGTTAGACTTTCCTTAAGATTAAAATACATATACTACATATATTAAATTACCCCCCCCCCTCTTCCACCCTCAGGGTAAATTTCAAAAAAGCAAAAACATTGCATTAAAAAAGATTGTGATGTGGGTGTGGGGATTGGGGTGTTAATCCAACCCCTAAAAAATAAAAAAAATGTTTTAAAAAGGTTGGATCAGCCTCTGTATTTATAATTTGTCAAGTATTTATTTATTAGTTAGTATTCATTTGTCCTCTAAGTGACCTTGGAAAAAAGAAGTTATCCGACCCACCAACACCCCCATTAGATAATGAGATGTTAGCCTCAAGGTAGGGGGCCTGTTAGGATCGTATGCTGGTAAATACGACCTGGGCCAGGCTGCATGTCGGTTTGGTCGTCATGCAGCCCAGGCTGTTACCCCAGTATTAAATGTGGCAGTTATATGCTAATTGTATAAGTTTATTAGTTTTTCACAATAAAATCTTGTTTAGCCAGAGATTTAAAATTTTTAATCAAGAAAGAAATCTGATTTCCCCCCTGATAGAAGACAGGTGACTAAACAAGGCGTTAATAATTTTTAACTTCAAAGTTTATATATCATTTTTATTTTTTATTTTAAAATTGGTTTGATACATATTATTTCATGTTTATTCATTAAAAAAAATCTATTTTACAATAAATTTTATCTATGTTAAGGAGAGGATGCACTTCAGAGGAGTTTTCATGGAAAGCTTTTATGGCCCCTTTTAAGGATCCAGTGTATAGGTAAATCGCCATTTTTAATTAACATGGAATTGTGTTGAATTAACAAAATATCCTAATTTACATTTTGAATTCACAAAATGTCCTAATTTACATTTTTGAGTTAACAAAATTTCCTCATTTACATTTTTGAATTAACAAACTCTCATAATTTACATTTTTTAATTAACAAAATATCCTAATTTACATTTTTGAATTAACAAAATATTCTAATTTACATGTTTGAATTAACAAAATATCCTAATTTACATTTTTGAATATTAATTTCTTTTATTTTCAATTAATGTAAATTTCTTTTTACACCATCAGTAACTTAAACATAGTTAGTTTTCAAGAGATTTTTTTTTACGAATTTAACGTTTCTGAACTAAGTATTTTTAGACGGATCCACATCTTGACTTTTGTTTCTGATCTACATTGGTACCACAAAAAAATCTAAATCTTTATCTAGAACTTAAAAATATTTCAACAGCCTCTGTAATCACGATAATAAGGTCACTATTTTTTGTTATCAGGTTTATGGAAGGTTTGTTTACATGCAACAATAATTCTCTAAACATTTTAAACAGGGATGGAAGTTTTTTAATCAATTTTAAACAATTATTTAAAATAGACAAAACTCCAAGTTTTCCACAGATAATTTAGAAAGAATTGTGTTTTTTTCTTTTTTAAACAATAAAATTAACAAACCAACTTGGATATTTTGAAATAGTTTACAATTAAGGAATTCAGATTTTCTAATCTATATCTTTGCAACCCGATGTTGTAGACCTGAGATATTTCAAACTAAGAATTCTGTTAGATCAAATGATCGATGTTTAAGGTTGCAAAGATATAGGAATTTTTGTAGAACGAATTCCTTAAGTGAATTTTGACTCGAATGATGTCCTATTTTAGTCTATTTTCCTAATTACTCGGGGGGAAAAATGTCAGAATAAGCGATAGAAATACGACGGAAAAATTCTATTGTCTTAAATGTTTAAGTGGGGGATAAAAAAAACAGAATAGTCGTAAATGATTAAATTAATGCGAAAAAGCAAAGTGTTCTAGATAAATAACACGGAATATCATGTAACTATTTTTAGTGGGATTATTTTTTATTTATTATTAAATCATTAGCAATAACAATTTTATAATAAAACATCACGTATACAAAACGTGACATCATCTATATATGTAAATACTTTGCTTGTCTGTTTGTCTTTGTGTCTGTACTGTATGTCCGTTTGTATCCAAAACACCCCATACCTTTGTATACAGAGCATAAACAATACTTGCCGAAACTATGTTTATTCAATGTACTGTACTGTACAATGTACTGTATCTAGGAAAAGTAACTGAGTTTTTGCCACTAAACTCAAGTTTTATAATCCTTGTAACTTTGCAACCTGATGATGCAAACCTTTTAAAATTCAAACTTAGAAGAGTTTATAGATTTGGTTTGGGGTTTTATCCCCCTAAAAATCTTAAAATAAAGTCTTTTTATGAAAAAAACTCCATCCAATCAGGGATAAGTTTATTGTTGAGAAGAGTAAAATGGAAAACTGTACTACAAGAAAGCATACAGTTATAAAAACAATCAGGAAAGTTTTCTCCAATAAGTCAGGTTTCTGGTTTAAAGGGACTGTACGCCGACGCGGTTATTTCATGTCACCTTCCATGCTAAGATGGCAATGTCCTATTCAAAGATGTCCATGTTTAAAGTTTTAAAACTGCATGATTATTTTGCTTTCTCTACAAAAGTGACTTGTTCATTTCTACTGCGTGAAAATGTATAGGAATTATCAGAATTAAGAACTTTATGCCTATAGAAGGGTATCCTTGTGAATCCCCGGCATCTTAGCAAATCGGTTGACTTGAAATTATCCTTAAAGTCCCTTACAGTCCCTTACAGCCCCTTACAGTCCCTTATAGTCCTTTACAGTCCCTTACAGTCCCTTACAGTCCCTTAAAGTCCCGTACAGTCCCTTACAGTCCCTTACAGTCCCTTATAGTCACTTAAAGTCCCTTAAAGTTCCTTAAAGTTCCTTATATTCCCTTAAAGTTCTTTAAAGTCCCTTATAGTCACTTAAAGTCCCTTAAAGTTCCTTAAAGTTCCTTATATTCCCTTAAAGTTCTTTAAAGTCCCTTAAAGTTGACCTTGACACCACTGACCCCATGGAAGGTTTATGGATGCTCAGAGTTTCGGAAATGTGTCTCCTAAAATTTTTGATTGTAGTAAAATTTTGAAAATCCACGAAAAAGATTGTGAAGCCGCGAAATTTTTTTTTTCATTGTTTTATGTAAGAGAAAATGCCGTTTATGTAAGAGAAAATACCATTTATGTAAGAGAAAATGCCGTTTATGTAAGAGAAAATGCCGTTTATGTAAGAGAAAATGCCGTTTATGCAAAAGAAAATGCCGTTTATGTAAGAGAAAAAGCAGTTTTTGTAAGAGAAAATGCCGTTTATGTAGGAGAAAATGCCGTTTATGTAAGCGAAAATGCCGTTTATGTAAGAGAAATGCCGTATATGTAAGAGAAAATGCCGTTTATTTAAGAGAAAATGCCGTTTATGTAAGAGAAAATGCCGTTTATGTAAGAGAAAATGCCGTTTATTTAAGCGAAAATCTCGTTTATGTAAGAGAAAATGCCGTTTATGTAAGAGAAAATGCCGTTTATGTAAGAGGAAATGCCATTTATGTAAGAGAAAATGCCGTTTATGTAAGAGATAATGCCGTTTATGTAAGAGAAAATGCCGTTTATGTCAGAGAAAATGCCGTTTATGTCAGAGAAAATGCCGACGAATTGAGCATCAATTAAAATTTAAAAATAGAAGATGGGCGGGAAGCCTAGTATATATATAAACATGTATTTATGATTTACAAAATAATATTTTGAAGATAATTCACCTGACCAGGGATCCTAGAGCAATTATTTCATCTCTGAAAAAGCTTCCCAAGAACTGGGAGCCTATTCTCAAGTAAGATATCTACAGATTATTATGAAACTGTGTGTTTGAACCCTTTTCAGGATTCTCAAATTAGTATTTCATTAGTCAAAATATTCTCTTTATTCATTTTGTATAAACTACATTTGATTCTTCTTGTCTGATTCACTACATTACCCTTCACACCTCTGATTCACAACAGTACCCTTCACACCTCTGATTCATAACAGTACCCTTCACACCTCTGATTCATAACAGTACCCTTCACACCTCTGATTCACAACAGTACCCTTCACACCTCTGATTCACAACAGTACCCTTCACACCTCTGATTCACAACAGTACCCTTCACACCTCTGATTCCCAACAGTACCCTTCACACCTCTGATTCACAACAGTACCCTTCACACCTCTGGCTTCACAAGGATAACAAGAATATTATTATCTATTTACAGAAACACGTAGAAATAAGAAATAATAAAATTTTAGGTTTAGAAAATGAAAATTTACATTCAATAATAATGTAATACCTTGTTGGACTTACATGCTAGCGTACACTTCAGTAACACGGCAATTGAAACATCATTTAAGAGATAAACACACTGAGTTCTCTGCCCTCATAGATTAGTGAAAGGTTTAAAGAGTATCGTTGTAATTCGAGCATTCCCATCCTTGCCTGAAGGATCACTTAAAATCCCTTTAATATATCATCTCAAGTCTCAAAATATCCGGCTGTCTGAAAACACTGAATGCAAATCGTAGAAATTCGGTCTGGATACTGCATAGGCAAACAAAAAGAGAGACCCTTGATATCCCTTAAATACATTTCTATTGACTATCAAAATCAACTGTACAAATGTACAACATTTTGCGATTCAAAAAGTATCTTAAACACATGTTTTGATAAAATTTAATAATTAACTGAATGAATTTTGATTTTTTTTTCTGGTGTGACTATTTTAATTTGCTATATTGTATTTTTTTAGCACGAATTTTGCATTCTCAATTTATTATTTTCACCTCCTTGATTAAAGTTATTGTTAATTGAGCTCATAGAAATTAAAACGTCATAATTATTAAGGAAAAATTTGGAAACAAAGTACCTTTGCCGTATTTATACTTTATGTTTAACAGATGTTTTGAAGTACAAATAAATACAACAAAAAATTAAGAAATACAAAAAACTTTAAAATACTCCCTTCCAATACTCCCTTCCAATACTCCCTTCCAATACTCCCTTCCAATACTCCCTTCCAATAAGGAGACGATGGTGAAAAAAACTTTTTTTGCATCTCCAATTTATTCATTAGAACTCTTTTTCAGGAACGAAGGAAAACTTATTTGTGACGTAATGAAATCCAATATTCGTCTTTTTCAACAACTCCTTCATAAGAACATTTTAAATAACGAGGTAATTTTAGATATTTGACGTCAAATCTTCACATTGTAACTAAATCATGAAGCAAGAAAATATTGAAATTTTATGAAATGGAAAAATCCCAAAGGGGATCTAAAATATTTGAAAATAACAATTACAACTTTTTTAAGTCTGGATTTTTATTCAACCTCAAATTTTTTTTTATCGAATCATGCATGTTTCACGGTTGATAGATTTGGGACCTGTTCCACGGTAAATATGTTTTGAAACTATTAACTATATATTAAATAAGTTTGGGAACTGTTCCATGGTAAATTTGTTTTGGACCTATTCCTAGGGAAAATGTATTTGGGAATTATTATTTGGGAAAATGTGTTTGGAAACTATTCCATGTAAAAATGTTATTGAGAACTGTTCTATTGTAAATAAGTTTGGTGACTGTTCCATGGTAAGTTTGTCTGAGAACTATTCCTTGGTAAATAAGTTTGGGAACTATTCCATGTAAAATTTGTCTGAGAACTATTCTTTGGTAAATAAGTTTGAGAACTGTTCCATGTTAAATAAGATTGGGAACTGTTCCGTGGTGAACAAGTTTGGGAACTATTTCATGGTAAATAAGATTGGGAACTATTTCATGGTAAATAAGTTTGGGAACTGTTTAATGAAAAAATAAGAACTTACCTCTGGTTATAAGTTAATTTGGGAACTACTCTTTGGGAAATGGCGTATTGAGGTAAAACCCCTTAGATGATCAATTGTGTCGAAAAGTATTTAACAGATGAAATTTATTTTAGAATTATCACACTGTAGTTTATGAAGATTTGGTAACTAAACAAGTTGAAGTTATAAATCGTCTTCTTAACTTTATGCAGCTGAATTATACACAGGTAAGGAGGGGTGGGGGGGGGGAAGATATTTTACTGTCTTCGTCGTTTATTATGTTTGGGTTAACCACAAAGGAAAAGTCTTCGGAGACGATTGTACAGAATTCATACAATACAGTCTGTTTCCATATACTTATTCGTAGCAACTGTAATCTTTCTACTTTCTTTGTACAATCTTATAATTAAGACCAAAATCAAGACACAAGACTTAATTTAACATTGAAATCGTCATATTTAAAAGGTTTTAAGTCGTCTTTACAGTCTCATCCTTTGTTGATAACCCTGTATTTCTGTATTTCTAGGAGGAGCAGAATCTTGTACAAGAGCACTTCAAGGCAGGCCTTAACTATACTTTTAAAACACTTTTTTCACTGACGAACTCAACATTTTATATTACCATGTGCTTGTCAGCTGTCTTTCTGTCTGTCTTTTTCCAATAATCATCAAAGGATGAACCGAACTAGCCCAATTTTTCATGGATGTGAAAAGATGAAAAATATTTTGCCCGGAAAAAATGTTGAAATTTAGTATATTTGAAAATGCGCAATTTTTTAAAAGAGAAATCTTCGAAAATTTCGGATTTGGAACGATTAAAAATTGCCACTTTTAGAGCCACAGTTAAAATCTAATAAAATTGTTGATACGAGAAGGGGCGCAAAGCGCCCGTAATGCCTAGTGCATTGAAAATTGCATAAATTTTAATAGAAAAATGTCGATATTAAAAACAAACTAATTTTGATAGATAATTCACAAATGAAATGTGTAATTTTCACCATTTGCGTTAAATGTTAAATAACTTTTAAATTTTAGAATATTTAAAAAAAATCAGGCAATGATATTTATTTGATATTTTTCTGTTTTGCCGTTTTATGTACTTTTTATGTATCAAATTAAAATCATATACAACACATGTACTTTGTACAACTGTAAATTACCCTAAGGTTGTAAAAGGAACATACTTTTAAATGCCCTAAAACTTCTATCTTTATCCTTGATACCGACTGGCCAATAAGACAGCTACGAAGAATTAAGTAGTGGTGTCGACTAATGACGAAGTGTACCTCCATTTGAAGAGGGGCAACTCGATTCACAACGGTACCCTTTTAACCTTTCACTGATAAAGGATGACTGACTTTACCTTTATTATCTGCAGATGTATTTTGTTTTATTGCAAGCTGTTTTATATTTAAGGAATATAAATGTTTAATTTCTAGAAATAGCAGAATATAAATATTCACATTTTTAAAAACCACATTGGACGAACATAGAATAATCTAGATTTTCCAGAAATAAACCTAACGTCACCCGTGTTAAGTTCACACAGTACGCTAGCGTACACCAGCAATTTACAGTTTTTCAAAATACATTTAAGAGACATATACACTGAGATCTTTGTCCTCGACGATCACTCAAAGGGTGAATCATGGAATCATCGGAGTTCTCATGGATTGAAATAAGAAATGGTTATAATAAGAATTAATCCTCGAGTGGAACCGAGTTGAAAACTTAAGAATTGTAAAAATCAAGAGAATTGAGATCAATACCCTTAAATCTCTTCTTTTATATCAATCTCAAGAATAATATAATTAATCTTTAGTTTATATTCTTGACTGTGTACAAAAATTGAACCAAATCAGACTGATGATTGCAAAATTAGAACAGCCAATCAGAAGCCGAATTTAGCACGCGCAATCAATGAAAAACTCCTATTGGTTGCAATCCAGCAGGGATATCCAAAAGTGTCTACAGTGGATATAGATGAAGAGATTTATAAATCAGGATTAAGGGTATCCAAACAGCTCCGATTATAAAAATAAAAAGTTTCGAAATCCAAGATATAATAGTTAAGGCTGGCGGATTATAGACGTATAAGAAGGGATACCTCTCAACATACAGGGGTAAACAGTTTCCCATAAACAGATGGGAGTTTGAACTACCCCTGGTGAGTTATTAAATGTGGGTCTTTGCCACAAACTCTGATTTTCTAATCCCAAAATCTTTGCAACCCAATTTCGTAGACCTTAGATATGTCAATGATTTCTCCTAGATCAAATAATAAGATTGAAATGTCAAAAATATTTTAGTTTCAAATGTATAAGGATTTGAACATTTGAGTTTCTAGCAGAGACTCAAGTCCTTTAACAAACCATTAGGGAGTTTAAGTGTAATTTCAAGTGACCCTTCATGCAAAGATGTCCGATTCACAACGTTTCTCTTTAATGGGATCTAAGAATTGGATCAATCTTGATCCGAAAAAGCTTTGATAGGTATACCTTGTGAATTAGCCATTGTCATCTTTACATGGAGGGTCGCTTTTAATTACGCTTACAGACCCTTTAACGATAGTTGCAAAAAAGTCAGAGCATATGCCAAACTTGCTATTCTTCAATTCCAACTTCTAATTTTATTAAATATATCATAAAGATTTAGATACATGCATATCTATGTAAATGGTGTAGTTTAATTTTTTTTTAGATATTTCGAATAGATATGTGTATAGTTTTACAACAGAAAAAATAAGCAAAATTATGCAAAAAAGGGCGGCATTGATCATAACTCATTTATAGATACATAGCATATTTATTATATTTCAATTATTACGTTATTGCGTTAATATAAATTATTCATTCTTGTATTTAATAGTTCTTGTAAAATCTGAAGTTTCCAAGCCTGCTCCAATTTTTTTATTTTCTGCATATTCCAGGAAAGTAGAGTAGTTATTGAAGAAAACTGCGCAGATCTACTTGTTCTAAATTCTAACTATGAAGAAGAGGAGGAGGAAGAAGAAGAAGAAGAAGAAGAAGAAGAAGAAGAAGAAGAAGAAGAAGAACGAGCAGAAAAAGGAGAAGATGAAAGAGATAAAGAAGAAGAAGAAGCAGTTGTAGAAGAAGAAGAAGAAGAAGAAGAGGTGGTGGAAGATGAGAACCAGGAGAACGAAAGCAAAGCAGAAGAAAGTGACGAGAAGAATAATAAAGAGAGTTTTGAAAATGTTTGAAAACTAAACAAATAAACAAGGTTACCAAGACAGACTAAGACTTCAGATGATTTTTAGTAATAACAATTTGGTAATGACAACTTGGTAATGAAAATTTGGTAAACAAATTTGGTAACGAAATGACAATTGCTAAGTAGGTTCCAGTGACAACTTGGTAACTACATAAAACTTAAAGTGGTATTTTGGTAACGGCATTGTGACAGCTTTTCTTTGTTTCCATGTTTATATTTGTTTCCTCCATGCAATTTGAAAGCTTGGTAAAAATCTAAATTTAAATTTAAATTCTTCCTTAATGTATTGATATATAGGACGACTACTGTAGACCGAGGATTAAATTTAACTTTCATAATTTTAGCATTTTAGGAAGTGATTAAAGCCCTTATAATAGCTGTCCTTGCAGTATTACATATTTGCTAAATATATAAACATTTATTTAAGTGAAAGTACTCATATTTTGATTTTTGTTAATATATATTATATATATATTTATAAATAAACATAAGCATTTGAAATGTGTTCATATTTTCCAAATTGCATAAAATATGCATAAAAATAGAATAATACAGTCATAACCAGAATAGAATAGGAAGACGACATTAAATACATACTAAAGAGATTTGATGTTTTTACATCGCAAATAGTTAATAAAACCCTTATTAAATAAGTTATGTCTGTTTGCACTGCACGGTTTCTCTGTCTAGTTTGTTCATTGGACTATTTAAAGATAAAATTTGAGTCTAAAAGTCGACTTCCCATTCCAGAGTTTTCTGGTTATCACTGTATGAAGTTGATGTTTGATACTTTAAAAATCTATGCCAATGCCATCTTTACATATAGGGCTTTCGTGTCCAAGAAGTCTATTTCCTGTCTATTTCCTATCCATTTCCTGTCTATTTCCTGTCTATTTGTTCATATCTCCCATTGATACACAATGTTTCATGGAGTAGGTGCTCCAATCATCAGTGAGGTCTGTTATCCCATTTTATTTGTTCTCAGTTTAGAATACCCGGATGTGCCCCCCCCCCCTCTGCCTGTGTTCCACAGTGTTTGGTACTTTCCCAAAGGCATTTTCCCAAGTGACAATTTTCCAAGTGTCGACTTCCCAAATGTGCAATTTCCCAAGCGGAAACTTCCCAAAGGTTAGGTTAGGCCCTCTGAGGCGCAACATGCTGCAATGGGGGACGGGCCGAGTGCTGTGGCTAGAACAGGAAGTTGCCACTCGGGAAAAATCTTTTGGGAAAGTAGCCAGATTTCGATGATTTGTGTTTTGTTGAAAATCATGGTTGACAATTGGGAGAATTACAAGAAAATGCAAGAAAATCTTAATGCAAATGCATTATTGAAGTTTTAGATATTCATCTGTTGATGTCTATATCTTTCTATATCATAGATAGATGGATATTATGTAAATAAAAAATGTTCTGAATAACAAATTTAATTTAATGAATGTTATAAAAATTAATTAGTGTGTTGTGTGTATGTGTGATGTGTGTGTGTTTGTGTTTAATATCCACAATGTGTGTATATATGTATATAGGGACCAGGTGTATGGGATATGACCGACTCCCACCCACGCGAATATAAACTAAATTCCGGTAAAGATATCATACTTTCAAAATACTTAACAACATACATTAGAAAATCAACAAAAACAAAAAAATCCTCGAAAATATTCTAAAAAAGTTGCGAAGTTTTCCCAGTGTTTGTGTGTATGTCGCTGGTGTCTGTAAGTTTAAGTCCAGATGTAGAGACTTGAACGATAGCTGTGAAGCTGTGACATCATTCCTCCATCTTAACTTGAGTTTACTTCAGTATACAAACCATTCACACACACACTGCACATACAAGTTATATATATATTTACATATACAAGACAGGGTTGACCTACTCAGCTGTGAATGTTGTGAGGGGGTGGGGTGAACCAGGGAGGAAGGGGGGAGTGGCCATGTAAGTTATGCATCACCCTTCTCTCCGCTACATTCCTCCAACCTTTTCTCAGGTCAATATCAATATTTCAGTTTAAAGGGGTATACCCGATTCACAACGTTATTCTTTAAACCTTTATCTGATCAATGATGTGGAAGATATTCTTGTTTTTCTAGTTTATGGTTGAATTCTAACAATTTCATTAAATTTTTTCTGCAACAGAAACCAAAATTAAAAATAATACATTTTCAAAGGAATAAACATGTATATATCTTAATCAGACAAAGCCTTGTAAATGGTACCTGCTTTATTAAATTAAGAGTCACCTAAAATTACGACACTATGTAAGAAAAAGTCGTTTAAATCCCTTTTAGTTAAATAATTTTTTTTGGGGGGGAGGGGGGGGGGGTAATTGTTTAATTGTTTTATGTCTTGAAACTCTTAACAATGTTCACAAATACAGAAACATTATTGCAATTAATTATGACGTATCTAAATATCTGAATTAGTTAAATTAAGCGTCTTTTTTTTACCACTTCCCTTATTTACATAATTAATATAATATGATAATAAGAACATAATTACTTTTTTCGATTATTGGTATTCAATTTTTAATTAATAATTTTTTACTTTGTTTTGCCATAACGGAAAATATAGATTTTAATTAACAAAAATTGTTTATTTTGTGGGGTTTCAACTTTTGAGTGAAATAAAAGAAATATCAGAATAATTATCCTTCAGTTTAAAACTTTAAATGGAAATAATTTCATAATTTCAAATATTTTTTTATGAAAAAGCGATTCGATAAAATTACATCTCACTTTAAATTCCGGTTAAATTAAAAGTATACCCTTTAATCTTTCCCTTAAAGGGACTGTACTTGTAAATTCAAGTGATCTGTAATGAAAACAAGGGAATATGCACGATCACAACGTCACCCTGTCAACCAAGCTCTAAGTGATCTCATCATCTATGTGCAAGATATTTTCGTTTTTTAGCTTGAAAAGTGCTTATTTCTGACAATTCTCCAAATTGTTTCTAAAACAGAAATGCGTAAGAGAAACCATAACATTAAATAATCCAATTTCATAAAGAAGATTTATATGGATAATCTAGGCTTGATCAGATAAAGCTTTTAATGGTACCGTTGTAAATCGTCAAGAAGGAAAATAAGTATACATTAAAAATGATTCTTGTTTAAACATGATTTGTTTTAAATCAGAAATGGACACTGTACGTGTAAAGTTTGTAAATTCTTTTTAAGCAAAATTTGATAAACACACAACTGAAGACTGATATAGTATTTTCAATGTTTTTTTAGGTGACCCAATCATTGTTGATTTAGGTTACCCAATCATTGTTGATTTAGGTTACCCAATCATTGTTGATTTAGGTTACCCAATCATTGTTGATTTAGGTTACCCAATCATCCTTGATTTAGGTTACCCAATCATCCTTGATTAAGGTTATCCAATCATCCTTGATTTAGGCTACCCAATCATCCTTGATTTAGGTTACCCAATCATCCTTGATTTAGGTTACCCAATCATCCTTGATTTAGGTTACCCAATCATCCTTGATTTAGGTTATCCAATCATCCTTGATTTAGGTTACCCAATCATTCTTGAGTGGGTCATCGACCTATGAAACAATTTGTCTCAAAAATATATATTTAAACTAAATAAAGTTGAAAATGATATATATACAATTTACATATATTTATGAATTGCTTTTATTTATGAATGTATTATGTAGAATATGCATTTTTATTTATGAATTTAAAAAACAATATGATTTACGATTTATTAAGACTGGAAAAAATCATTATCGTTGGAGAACTATCGGAGACCCCAAGCTTTTCATCGGAGACCCCCAGATGTTCTTCGGAGACTCCAAACTTTTCATCGGACACTCCAAGCACATCTAAGACCCAAGAGCAGCGTTAACCTGATGTCGTAGGCCTTTGGCATTTGTAGATATAAGTTATGTTAGATTAAAATATCTACATAAGTTTGAAATATCAACTCTGATTTCTAATCTATATCTTTGCAACCCAATATCGTAAACCTTATATTTTTTAAACTATGAAATCAGTTAGATCAAATATTATATGTTATAAGTTTAGAATATCAAAGATTTACACCATCAGATTTGGAATATTTAACTGAGGGAAATTTTGAGTTTTTGGCAATTTCTTTTTAATTGAAATTGTTTGCTTTCTCAACAATTCTCCATTTAATTTTACTAAATATTCTTAAAGAGACTTAAACGTAATTTCAATTGACACTCCGGTGATTGATAGGATTCACCATGAAATACCCTTCAAACATTTTTCTGCTCAAGTATTAATTGGATATAAATATTACCAATTTTAAAACAATTCATTTTAGTTGTGGTTTCTTTACAAAAGTTAATAGAGAATTTCTACTGAAGGAAAACGTATTTTTTTAGAATTCAGAAGGCTATATAGTAAACCTAGAAAAACGACAATATTTTGTGCATGATACAAAGCTAAGTGAGTGTTTAAACTGCACACAGAGTAGCTCGCTGTTCATCCTGTACATAGATTAATTATCCTTC